CGAGGCCCGACTCGAGCTACGACTCGGTTTGGAGAACGACACGGAAAGGGAGGATAACGCGTCGACAGGGGAAGGGTCGCGCGCCCATCCGCCCCATCGGGGGCAAACAATGCTTCGCGTCGTCTCCGTTTATAATGAACGCGGTATATGCGTGTGTACGTGCCGCGAGCTACGTACTCGTCCCCTTACCCTCGGTACTCGTAATAATGAGCACGCGGATTATGCGCGGTGATCGGTCCTCGATATGCGCTTACTCCCGGAGAAGACGAGGCGACGCCGGACGTGCACGCGCGTCGGCGCCCTCTACGTCGCATCCGGCCTCGAACGACGTCGATCAGGAGGATCGGGAGATCGATGCGAATGTACCGATATCATTCGAAATTACGTATAAAGGGATTTTAAGAAGAACCCCATCGGTGGATCTGATGTTTCGACACCTGGGGCAAGATCGAAGCATCGGTGCCCTCCGTCTTGCTCTTCGGGCACCAGGAGTCATCCCTTCGAACGATCCCACAGGCGGTGGCCGCGGCTTCGGTGGGCTCCACTTTTTTCGCTTTATAAATCCTCTGGTTCCGACAGCCGCTCGTAGTCCGCACCCTTCCCCTGGACGCATACGCGTACACGGATGCCGGCACTAGGGGGGGCGTCGTCGGTATAGGGCGGCGCACGGGCGTCGATGTGAATGCGCTTTGGCAAGGCTCGATCCGCTAGATCGCGCTACAGCGAGAAACGGCCGATCGAGGTTCAATGATTCCCCGGGTGAGTCGGTATGTGCGGGCGGTTTCGCACACGCGGAAACCCCGCTCGACGCGAATGCTGACGCAGACCAGGGCGCCACCCCTTTGGGTACGTGCGTATCTTCGTTAATAATATACGTGGAAATCTGATTATTTTTCTGCTGCCCGGTTTTAATTTCAAACGAATTTTTCCTTTTGTTCGATGCGCCGGGCTGCCGAGTGCGATTGGCTCACGTTGGATTCGAGTGGGCGGGTGGGGGTTGTGGGGGGGCTCGAAAGCGCAGCGCCCCCGTGGGGTGGGACGAGAGCTCGTCCACCCGCGTCCACTGCAGATCCAAAGGGGAAGTGGGGTCGCCCGATACCCCCGAAACCATCTTCGGAGGGTAGCCACCCTGGCGAGGTGCGAAAGTCCCGCCGACACTCCGAGTGCGCACCTAACCCTTCGACTACCCCCCTCTAATTGCTACCTCGTTTAATAAAGACTAGTCGGCGCCTTTTGCCGATTAATTCCCGCTAAAAAGTCCCCCCAACTTCCCGCGGCCTCCCCCGACGTTTCCAACTTGGCCGCGAGGTGCTTTAACCCGTTCAACCCCTCCCGGTGACACTCTTCGAGCTCGCAAACTTTCGACCCGGCCCTCCCCCGACTTTTCAGCCACCCCAGTAGCCCCCGGCGACTGTTGGCCATGACCACCGACACCTTCGCTTTTATTAATTTCCTGGTAACCACGTAAAGCGCCCCGATCGAGGGGGTGTTCGCTCACGAAATTATGAATTTTAACCTTCGAGATCACGTGGAAATTAGCTGGAAATCCTGAGCAAAGAAATCACCTGTCACATTGTCACAATTTAAATGCCTACCGTCACTTGTTACCGAATCGCATTCTTTATCATATGGAATTAAAAGGAGTCGGTTTCAAAGAAGTAAATCGTTTTCACTGATTTCCGAGTGAATAGCTCCTCGGTCCCGATGGTTTTGGTTACCGAACTCCTGGAGATGTTCCTCTGGGGGAACCTTGGGAGGATTCGGCATTGTGCTCCTGGGACCGGGCCGGAAAATTGTCGAGCGATCAAAGAAGGCCTCGACTTGGGCCAAGTACCCGGGGACGGGTATACCTAGGATAGGCCGGATGGGTATTACGTACATACGGCTAGGGAGCTCGTACTCGCTCGTGAGATAGTGCTCGGCTCGGAGAATGTATCAAAATCAGGCGCGAGGTTGCTTTATGGACGGGAACGCTCGTAAATACGCACTTCTGGCACTACTACTACTCGGCCGCGGAACGCCCGGGACTCGAGAGAAACTGCCAGGATAGGTTAGGCGATAGAAAGGGGTACGCGAAATAGCTTCTACGGGATGCTAATAAAAGATAGAACCGTAGAGATAGGCCGTACCGAGGGAGATACCGCGGGGCCACCGTTTCGCCTAAACCCTCTCCTCGCATCGCGTCGTTTCGCGGATCACCGGCCAGGTTTCAGAGTCATCGGAGGAGGACGCAAATCACGGCCGAGGGATGAATCTCGAGGCATACAAAAACGAAAAAATGACTCCTGAGGCATCCAGGGGATGCTGGACCTCTAGGAACCTCGCCAAGCTCAGGGTGTCGAGCTTGGCGCTGGGGTGCACCACTTCAGTGGACCTCCTACTTAGGAGGACCGTTTCATTTCTGGAAAGGGGGGTCGGGGGTTAGTGCGGTGTACGGTAAAACGGAGTCGCGGCTGTACCTAGCGGAGGAGGGACAGAGTTGAGTTTGTTTGCCGAGCAAACGTTTGCCGACGACACCGCCGGACACTGGTGCCTGGTTCGGTCTGGCCTGGTTTGGCCTCTGGTACGAGTCTGTCCGAACCGGCCAGTGGCCAAGGCCTGCGGAGGCAGAAAGGGGATGTAATACTATCTCCTCGGCCGAACAGTGGTGGCCAAATAACTCGAAGCTCTGGGAGCTGGAGGGAGCGGTGGGGTTGCGCCTCGTCATCGCCAGCCATGGTCCAGAGCCCTTGGCCCGTCCTCGAAAAGTATGGTTCTCCAGGTCCCAGCAAGATGGTCCCCGATCGCCTTGGAGCCCTCTTCCCAAATCCAAATACCAAACCCGTAAATCCGTCGATAAATCTCCGCGGTACACGGTGACCACATTTGCTTAGGGATAAGGAGCTGGAGCGGAAGGTGGGGCCGGAGAGAGAGAGAGAGAGAGGGCACGCAGTAAGGTGTAAGTCTGGAAGGCAGTGAGGAATGGCCCAGTCTAGCAAGCCTTTAACCTGGCTTAGCGTGTACTGGAAGCACCATCCCCTATCCTTCGTGTCGGGGCCAAGTTATACCCGCAAACAGTCGTACATTAGTGCCTGCAGGAATCCTGCAGGATTTATAAGGGGAGTCCCCGGCCCGTGCGGACTTCACTCGGGTAAATCGTCCCGACCGAAGGCTCCTCCCGACGATCGGAAATCAGTCGAAGGCTGCGCCGACTTCGCGACGGAGGCTGAGTGCCGGACCACCCTAATGAGCAACGCCAACTTCGATTGGACTCGTTCCGACCGCGTCCACGACATCCAGAACCTGACCGGCGCGTCAGACCTTGGTGTGAATTCGGCGCCGAACCTCTAAGAGTTTAGTTTGGTCCCGCAGAGCGTCGCCGGAGGGTTTCGGCTCCGTCCAGGGGGTGAAGCGGGGATCGTTAGGGGCAGTCGGGTAGCCAGTGGTCAGCACACTTGGCCGACCCTACTTCGCTAACTAGTTTAATGATATATGTTGAGCTACAAGCGCCTTGATTAATCGTTAACTAATGTTGGACCTTGCAGTGTTCCACCACGTAGGAGCTGGCGAAAGAGCCCTAGGAGTGGGACCCGAGGGGACTTGGCCGAGGGGCGACAATTCTCCAGCCCCTCCAAGACCACGCAAATCTACGTCCGAACTCGGCGAAGCCAAACGGAAATCTAATCTCTCCCGACAATTTGATTTACGATTCCGCCTAACCGCTTGCGAAAAAACGATCCGCCACTCCTCGGCGAGTGGACCTTCGTAATTTGTCGGCTTTCACAATGGCACCAAAGACACCTCGTTCTCCAATTTAGCGGATGGTTTTTCTAAGACTTCGACGCCCCTTTTTACGTTTCTTTGGCAATGGGTCAGCATCGAGCGCAGTTTAATGAGCGTAGATCGATGGATCGTACCAATGGCGGTCTTATTCTCGCGGCGGCTGCGAGTTCTTCGGGGTCTTGGACTCCAACTTCAGGGGCCAGCAGGGGTGCTCATAAAGCGGCATCCGAGACGCGATTCGTCGTCGTCGGGGCAGGAGAGCAAAGGGGTTCGGGGGTGCAAGACACCGTGAAATTACCACCGGAGTCTCTCATCCCCGGAGGGTGCGGGGCGAGCTGGCCGGTGGAACGGACTCTGTCCACTGGCAGGACCACCGGCTACCGGGTATTTGTCTTGTCTCCTTGTTTATGAGATTCAACATTGTTATTTGGCACCGCCAGGGAGTTCTCACATAGTACGTGCGTGGCAACGGTCTGCCGGGAGTTTCTACTTTAAGAGGAAGCGTCGCAAACTACTCGGTCAACTTCGTGCGGAGTTAGCGAGCCGAGCGCTCGCCATTCGTATCCCGGTTAAGCCGGACCGAGGGCTGCGTTCACGGAGTCCCGATGCCGGGACGACAGACGTCGACACGCACCGCTGGTCGTTTTTTCCAAACCGACGGATCATCCGTTCGATCGAGTCGCGATTCAATGGACGAATCCTCCCCGTGCAGTTCTTATCCCGGGAGCATCTAATCGAGGCGCCGTGGTAGCAGCCGAATCGACAGGACTCATCGATCCGCGGAGCCCATATCTCGGGCGTCGATTAGGCGCTTCGGCTTATTTAACGACGCCCCCCCCCCCCCCTCCCGATTTACGGCTCTATTTCGGTAAGACAACCTCGAGTCCCGGAAACGGGCGTTGTCCGAAAACGGACCGCAAGCGGAGACGCACTCTCAGGCGAGCCACGAGCCCATACCGAGGCGAAGCGTTGACCCCGCTCGTTGCGGGGAAGAGAGGACTACTTAACGGGCCAATTGATCGTCATTGAAACGGGAGAGGAGCCGATCCGTTGAGCCGCCTGCAGATATCAGGCGTCTTCTCGCGACCAGCGACCAGGAACACCAAAGAGGCTCCCCTGGACTTCTAGGACGTGGGCACAACAACCACGCGCACTGCTGGGTGGCGATCGGTTCCTCGCCCATTTCTCTTACCCCGTCTCTATGGGAATTCATTCCTACCCGGGTTTTGGCTACTCACCTCGCTCTTAAGGTTCAGCGGCGCATCGCAGGACGCGTCTGCATCGGCCTCGGCTTTGATGCGGTGGGACGGCACGCCGTGGGCGTGCTGCCGTGGAGGCGCCGCTGCTGCCAGCATGTTGGACTGCTGCCGACGCTGAAGTCGGTGCTGCAGACGGTGCTGGAGCCTCTGGTGTTGATAGGGAGGCGATAGTTGGGTGCAGTTCAGGATGCGTAGGTCGGCAGGCGGCGAGGCTGGCGCGGCGGTACCGCTCTGCTCCTCCTCGGGCGAGCCCTCCGCCATGTCACCCTCGCATCCCGAGGTATCGCGATCTGCGGACCCGACCAGACACCTTCGAGTGAGGCCTAGCTTGACTTCATCGTGGTACTTATACGGATTTGCATGAATTTATATGGATTTCGGCGCCGAGATTCGAGACCCGGATGGCAAGGACGGGGACGGACCATTGACGGTACGCTACTGGGTGCTTAAGTGGGAGGCTTCTTGCTGGACCTTCCAGGCTTCTCCACTACCCGGTCATCGCCCAAAGCGGGCCCGACGAGTCGAGTTGGCTTAATTATTTTTATCTAAGCTCGCGTTAGCTGGAATTCAAGGGCAATGAAATCACGCCGGGAGTCGGCTGCTCTCCAGCCCTATTCTCGTCATCCTCCGTTTATAACCATCTCGAGACGAGACCGAGCGATCGCTCTCAATCTTTTCCCAGGGAACTTTCGCACCGAGTAACCTCACCTTAAAACCCGGAATATGTTACGGGCCTCCCACTGGAATGCGGTTCTACTTTGGGAACGTTTAACTCGCCGGCGTCGCCCCGAGAGGCGGCGACGTCTCGCGTTCGTTCGCCTAATTATTTTTATCTAAGCGCCGAGTTAGAATTCAAGGGCAATGAAATCGCGCCGTCTGCTCCCGTCCTCGCTCCCGTCATCCTAACCCTTTCCTTCCGCCCTCCACCTCCCCGAAGAAGTCACGTTCCGTCAGCTCGACTCGGCTCGATGAGCTCGACCCTCCAGCCGCGACGAGCGGTCGAAACGCAACCAACATCTGTCGCTATTTTTACGCTGGCCCGGCTCCAATGTTTCACTTTTTAAAGGATTCCCTTCTTATGACGAACTACCGGATAAGAACTCGGAGCTAAATCGGTGGCCGGAGGAACAAAGGTCCGGTCAATCCCGAACACCATGGCGAACTAGTCCCACCATGGCGGGCGGAATTTCAAACTGGAGGGGTTTAAGAAACAATGGTTACGAGATGATGGATACCAAGGGAATGGAGGATCGATCGGACGGGTTATACAGGGTTACCCATACTTTTACACTTTACCGCGATAGGCTTTAGCCAACTAGGTTCGCCACCGCGGAGCCTACTACTGGAAACCCATCGCGTTTTCATATTATTACAGTATTCCAGGCCACGACGAGGCAGCAGCGTGCAATTAAGGAGGGTTGATTGATGTTAATTCAAAGGGTAATTAAGAATGTTGCGCATAAAAATCCGGTAATTTATGGTCATTGGGGATAATTATATGTTGACCAGCTCGTAATTGCAAGCGCTCGGTGTAGGCCGCAGCGCTGTAGGTAGGTATAGGTAGGCAGGAGGAAAGGTAGGTAGGTAGGTCTCTTGGTCGGTCTCTCGGTCGGTCGGTCGGTCGGCCGGTATACGTACGCGCGAAATATATGGTCTCAGATCGCAGCTTATTATAGGGGCAAGTAGATAAGGTGGGTTAGAGACCGGGCGCCTCTGGCCAGTTCCCCGAGTCGCCGCGGGCGCTAGGTAGTCGCAATTTATGAGCCCTATTCTAACGCGCGCTTTTAGAATTTTAGGCCAGCACGTCGAGGGCGACTCGAGGTAGAAGAGAGCCTATAAATAACCAGGCGGGATAATCGCCATATGGCCGCGAACTGCTCCGTCAGGGCGCGACTCCCTTCCGCGCAACGGCGCGGCCGATCGCGGGCAAACCGTCCGCGATGTGTAAAAATGCCCCGAACAAAGATCCCTCCTCCCATTCCGCGCTACAACTTTTGTCCGAGACCTTTTCCTCCAGCGCGTCTCGGTGACGAAGAAATCCCCACCGATCGCAGCACGCGCGCCGATGCCCATCGCACAAAGACCCCATCTCTTCGGGGCTCCAGCCTTCCCTTCTCCCCCTCGTTCTCGACGCACGTGCGCGCTCACGGCAGAAGCGCGTGCTTCTTTATAAATTATTAGAATTAACGATGTCGCACGCGTCGCCGCCCCTGCGCGCCGGTCTCGACGCTGGTATCGGGCTCCGGACGTGGCATCAGCGCGCGCGCGCGCTCCTCTAGTGCCTACCTCAACGGAGTCGCGTGTCCTTTGGGACTTCCGTCGACCCTCCCGCCCCAGCAACCCCCACTGGTCTCCTTACGACCCCCGCCCCCGCGCAGGGGAAGGAGCGCCGGGGGCAACGCACGGGAACAACTTTTCTCCTCCGAGTCTCTCGCTCCGATTTTCTACCCCCCCTCGCCCCCTGCCCTCCGCCTTCACTCCGCCCCACCGCCTCCACTCTCGGTCGCGCCGCCGACACGTGCTCCTGTTTACCTCACGATGAGTCACATGGCCGAGGAGGCCACCGGCACCGCCGTTACGTCTCGGGGAACCAACCTGCACTTCCGGTCTCGTCTCCACGCTAAAATGGAGGTTTTCCTGCGTTTTCCCCGCAGGACCAGGGAGATGAGTCTGGGATCAAGCTCTTCGGATCGAGTTTGGGATCGAGCGAGAGGATGGTCCAGGGTTTAGGACAGATTCTTCGGACGCTTTTATCTGGACCTTGTCGGCTTCCGGTAGCGTTTTCAGACCACTCGGGAGCTGGTATCACTGACGCAGGACGCGATTATCGGGCAATTATGAGCAGGCGGCTAAGTAGCTGGCGCGGAAAATTATCGCGAGCCTGCCCCGGCATGTAACTAAGAGTCGAGAGTTGTGCCTCGCAAAGTTCCCGCGTTACTCTCCCGAGTGGTCAAGCTTGATTGCAAGTAACTGCTCTTAATTACCGATAATCGTGCACGGCTACTGGCTAGCCGAACGTATGTGCGAGTAAGAACGACCGAAGGCATGCTCGACTTGCAAATAGGGATAATGTGGATATCGAGCTTTTGAATAGCACCTAAACGGTGTCCAGTGTCATGGACAGAGGTTCGTTAAGACGTGGCCGAACGTCCGTGGCTTCTTTAATTTAACATGCGCCGACATCGCGACTGTAGCCATCCGTATCGACAAATGCTCGAGAAATCGGACAACCCGGTCCACGCATTCCTCCTCGGGGATAACGTTATCCGCGCTTAATGCACTTTTAATTATTCTACTTACCCGCCGGAGTTGGCGGCGACCGTATAATTTCCGAAGGTATAATTTCAGCTGAAAAACGTCGTCGCGTCCGGAGAGTCACGTGTCGTACGTGGCAATTAGAGTTGCACCGGCACGCCGATGGCGGGTGCACGCACGCCGACAATTACGAGCGTATACGCGTATACGTGTACATATGTGTATAGGTATATACGGCTCGCAGTCCGCGCGTTCGCGGCACCGCCAGACGCGGCCGGACCGCTTGCGGTGTTGGCCGTGGGGCAGTCCTACCCTGCGTGAAGGGTCGCGCGTCTCGGAGATGCGGTTCCTCGATCGGCAGCCAGCGGAAGAGCATCAGCGTGCGAGGCCCCCGTGTCCTGGGTCGGCGAGGTTCCACCGTCTGACCGAACCATCGCGTCTCAATTTCCAGATCCTCTTCTCTCGAAGGTCCGCCGATAGTCGCGAAACTTGCCGATGGGTCCCTCCTACCGTGCCGTCTGGTCCGGGTCCCGTGATTGGCGTAGAATTTCGGCGGCCATCCGCGAGCACGTTGCCGGCTGGGTCAGAGTTCGGGATCCCGGGTACCGCACAGAACGAGTCCAAAACAACCGTCGCACCAAGAACCGAGATCGCCGCGACGCGTGCGTCGCGCCGACACGCGGCAATGCCTGAACTTATCGCACCGAGTCGGAGCCTCCACCTTGGCGCACCGCAGTCTGGCTGCGTTGTGCCCGAGGTCTCTCGGCGGCTAGAAGGTTGCCCGCCAGTCGACGCCACCGCCGCCGCCACCTCCGCCACCACCACCTCCGCCGCCACCACCACTTGCCGCAACAATCGAGCACGGCGCCGCTGGTGGGGGATCAGAGGCGTAACGGGGGCGGACCCCATGCGCGGAGGTGGTCCATGAGTTAGTCGCGAGATCCTGTTGTTATGATTGTTATGAGTGTCCGAGCTGGCTCCGCGTGCCGGGGGCGGCGGGGGCTCGGAGGGGTCCTCTGTAATATACCCCCGCCTCCGCCCTCTCGAACGAGCTCGTAACCGTGATGCAAATCAGAAGAGGGACGGGGGAAGGAGAACGGTGACGGTGGCACGAACGGTGACGAAGTGTCGGGGAGGGGGCTCTGCCGGTGGAGGGAAGGACGCGGAGGAGGAGGAGCGATCGGCTCGCCAGTCCAGAGATGCGGCCCCGAAAATTTCTGCCAAAAATGCACCCACGTCACCGGCGACCTCGTCGGGGGTGCTTCCGAGTGCCCCTAACCCCTATCCCCGGGCACGGCGTACCCCTACCGGGCCGCCGTCTCCGGGTTACAAGGACGGGTGCGGGCGCCGTTGGAGGGGGTCGTCATTGCGATCATCGGTGGGGCTGGCTCCTTCTTTCGCCTCCTACCTCGGGATCGCTGCTCCTCGGAGTTCCTGGTCTTGGGTCATGGGGTTCCCTCCACACGTCATCCACCAGGCTGTTTCCTAGGATTCACGGTGAAGGGTCTCATGATCGCGTCTTGTACCATCTACATCTCGATGCTGCTGGATTCTGGTACTTGCGTACACATCCGGTACAGGGACCACGCGGACACGCCGTGTTCCGCGTTTGACAATCCGACGTCTCGTCTCCTTTCATTACCGCACGTCCGACAAGTCCGAAATGGCACGGAGTGATGGCGATGGTACCCAATTTCCACCACCCATCGCCATGACGCCCTGTCGGATCCGAGGGGCTTTAAAACGTAGCTGGAATTTTCCTTCCCTTGTATTTAGGGGGTGCGTTTTATCGGTGCCGTGGGAAAATACCGATTTTCCGGTCGCTTTGAATATTATTCCCGGAGAGTCGAAGGGTGGCGGAAGTTCCTTTCCGGGGACGCCCATGTCTCGGTCGACGACGACGTCTTCCGAGCGGCAGACTTCCCCTTTCCGTCCCTAAATCGAGCCCTGCCTAGCGACGCCAATGTAACTGTCCGCACCCTCGGTGTTTTAATGCTCTCCCCTCTTCCTCCCCTCGGAACCTACCCTCGTCCGGTCTTCGGCTCAACCCTTAGACTCGGGCTTGGGTTTGTTCGTTCCCCGTTGTTCCGCACAAGTACTCGCAATGATAGCCACCTCGACTCTTGTCGGTCCGATTTGCAAAAGCACCCCTGTCCCCCCGGCGCCCCTAACTCTTCTTGCCCTACAGCGAACGTCGCGTCACGCTAGCTGACAGTAAATTAATGTACTCGTTTAGGGCCGGCCCCGTTGCAATTAGGCGGCCTCCTCATCGATCGGCAGCTTGGCCAGGCATCGATTAGCAGGACTTATACAGGTCGATTCATACCCTGGTGGGGTAGGCTACATCGGGACGCTTCGGCGATGCCGAGCCGTCTTTAATTAACCGGATAACGAGTCCCGGGGAAATCCAGGAGACGCGGATACGGAAGCGTCGAGTTTTTATGTGGGCGTAGATTTTTGAGGAAGGCGTCGGTGTTGGCCGCGAAGAAGGCGACGCGGGGCGCCCTCTGCCGTAGGAGCCGATCGGCGCCTCTGGCGGGAAATGCGCGTGGCGTCGGAGGCGAATGAATGAACGCGCTCGTCCTTTTTCCGGGCGTCGGAGGTCCACGTGGTACTCGCATAACTCCCCTCGAAGAGGCAGGACGAGGCGGGTAGTCAGCTGGTGGTCGAAGTAGTAGGTAGGAGTCGAGCCAGGATGTGGGTCTCCCGCTTTCTCTCTTTTCTCTCCTTCCTTCTCCCTCCCCGGGCCGGCCGAGCTTTCCTACACTCTTGCGCTACTCTCGTCCTACTCTCGTCCTAGTCTCGCGCGCCGCCCCTCGTCCGCCGCTCCGCCGACCAGGGTCTCCGTTTCTCTTCCTTCTCCACCTTCCGACTTCCCTCAGGGGTTCTCCGTGTTCCTGCCCCTTGCGCCGCGGAATCGATGCATCGCGCGAAGGGTCGCTTCCGTTCGACCCTGCCGAGGCGCTCGGCCCTCAAGGGTAAGAATTCTCACCCTTTCGCTTGCCTAGCATCGACATCCGTGACGCGATCCTCGGATATTAACTCGTGAATTAACGCCTTTCCAAGCCCCCGCAACAGCTAAATTAACGCCTCGAAGAAGTCGGTTAATGGTTTGAAGTATACCATCACCCTGTCATTGAATTTCTAAATGTCATATTTATTTCAGATGTCCGGGGGTACCGATTTAATTTCACCGGGGGTAAATGGCGTGCGTGCGGTGGCAAAAGAAATGTGGGAGATCGTCTTCTTGGCTACCACGAAGACGCCACCCTTTTCGGGAAGTCGATTCAAGGTGCCGGATCCTTCCGACGTCACGACCCTCCGGCCCACATTCCTGGCGAGCGGTCCTGAGCCGGACTGTACTCCTGGCCCAGGGCCCGCTTCCAGTCGCTGCTACACGGATAATAACAGAGCCAGTAGGAGCCAAGCGGTCTTTACGAGCATCTTCTCGGAAGTATAAACCCGGCTCCCTCCGGCCGTACGGCGTCGTGCGGGTCCGTGGAGAGTTCGCGGCTAATTAATGCGAAACGGCCCCGACAAACTTGCGGGCGCGAGCTGCGCGGTGCTCGACCTGCTCCTTTTCTCGGGGGTCCGACCGCGGAAGACCGTCGCGCCGATTTCCCATTTGCGCCGCTGTAGACCGCAGCGGCACGTCGCGAGGGATCGAGCCCGGGTCTTCGAGCAAAAATCCCGGCAAATCGAGAGAACGCCTGTGCTGGCGGTCTGGCGGCGTCCCATTGTTTCGTTTAGGTGACGGTGCACGCCCGGGCATAAATTTAATATTCGCCCGGCATTCGGGCTCGGCCGCGGGCACAAAGACCGCTTTCACCGTGATCCGGATCCCGCGAAGCGCGGCGCTAGTACCTACTTAAATGAGCTCCGCGTAGCAGCGCGCGGAGCCGCACGGTGCCGGCCCGATATATTGTCCGCGCAATTAGAGGCGGCGCGAGGCGGCGCGGATCGAGAATCGTTCGTGATTTATCGGAGGCGGAGGTCGCGCTATCTGGCGTGCACGAAGCGCCCGCCAATTTCGCTGGAACCTCCCGCAATTTGGGCTCGTACCTAACAGGTGTCAATTATTACCAGGCCTAATGTACTTATTCCACGTGATTCCGCGGCAGGCTGGAGGTGAAGTTGTCCGACTCGGCGGCCGGCCGGCGGCGGGGACCTCCTCCTGGCGGCGCGCTCTTCCCTGCGACTTCGCGCGCTGCGGGTCCGCGGCCGAGTGGCGCGGACGCGGACAATAGTTCGTAGCCGGCCGTTTGTGGCGCGCGCGACGCGCCGCTCCTCGAGCTTTTCGGACAATATTTAACCGCACGTCCTGCCCGGTAGCTTCGATCATTAAACGTGCGTATATAGCCTCATAATATTGCAATCCACGGCCATAATTTACGTCGTTTTATAGTTCAAACTGCAACCTACGTAGGCAGCGGCGCTCAAGCCTTTAGACCGTGCTATTCCATTCGAGTTGTACAGGGTGATCATAAAGTGGGCTCCCTCCCTTTCCATTGAACTGAGCGCCTACCTACGCGGATACCCGACGTTAGTGCCGGCGAACCGCGCCGGTCCCTCCGCGTCTTCGGGAACACCGGTTGGATCCGCGACCGCGACTGCGCCGGGAATTGAGATATACCGTTTTATAGGGAACCATCTCGATGTCGGAGAGGCCGTGCCGCCGTGGGGCCGTGAGGCTCTTTTATGAAGTTACCGCAAAGCTGCTGCCCCGATACCCGCTCTAGCAGGGGCTACTTATGTCGAGACTTCGCGCGTTCCTCGACAAGGCCCTAAGTCGGAAGCCCGATGCCGGTCGCTCATTTACCGCCGACAGGTTTTCCCGATCGATGTACCATCGAGGATGCCGACAAGGTTTCCTTTGCAATTGCGTTATGCCACGCTTTCTTCCAATCCCACCCGCAAACAATTAATCTCATCGTAAAAAAGAAAAAAGCTTCAGCAAATAAACGCACAATATAAGGCACTAGGAAATTGACAACGGAAATTTTTTTGCACCTCGATATTCAGCGACAACTGCATATCGCTGTATGGCTCGTGCGTTCGAGAAGAAAAACGATGCTCTTGACTGGTTTGTCTTATTTTTTATTTCTTTCTTTTTTTTTTTTTTTCGTTTAAGTGAGCCGAATGGTGCACGAGTGGCGGGGTCGAGTGCCGTTCGTTTTGAAGTCTTTATGGGGTGATTGCCTAAACGGTCGGTCGGGTTCTGTCGGAGCCGGCATCGCCGAGGCGTTCGGCATGTTCGGGGCGGACCGCATGCGGACACGTCCGTCACCTTGGCCGATGTTCTCCGGATTCGGCGAGTCATGCACGTCACGTCTTCGAAGGCCACATAATCCGCGGGTACTCGGATTTACGCGTTGCACCACTGCGGCAACTCGTTCCCTCCCTCTCGGTCCGTGTGTCGCCCTCTCGCTCCCTCGGCTACGGCTAAATGTCGTAATTTCGCCGAGAGTTCAGTTTTACCCGTGCATCGTATCGCACCGAGGCGAACGTCAGTATGCCGGGACCGGAGCGGGAGAGCCTGACCTAATTTACATACATATAAAGCGCATTCGATGTGTTTTAGGGGTCGTAAATCGACGCAGCTACGCGAATCGTTAAACCCTTCCTTGCCGCAACACCCCACGATGCGTGCGGGAGAGAACTCTCTGCCAACCAGCGCCATAGGCCGCTTACGGCCCGCCGCTACCACAGCGCCCTCAGACGC